ATATATACATTATCTGAAAACATAGTAATGGGTAGGAGTTCATAAGTTCTTTTTACTTCGTCCTACTCCTTTTCGAACATGTTAAGACTATTGCTGCAACAAAAATATGTGTATGTTCTATACTTAGRTAAGTTCAAGTATGACTGTTACTTTGTACTGCTATCATGGTTGAAATAAAATGTGTTTGATTGCTTGAGTTTTTAGCTGTTTGCATTAAAAAACATTTTTAACGATCTGCAGGTCACAGCAAGGGTTTAAAAGAGAGGAAAAAATGGATTCACAGATTTCTGCTAGCCATAGTGTCTGTACTATGTTCTCTACATGCACTCACACCTCAGTGACATTTAGGTTTTCTATTTACAAGGGAAGTGTTCACATTTGCAGTGCAGTAGGGGAATACTTTTATACTGTAAAAGAAGAGGATATGCTCATTTTAAATTTATATTTTTCTATTATAATAGAAGAAAAAACATTTTTCCTGATGGATTAAGCGTTGATTAAGTGGAAATTTTGGCTCAGTTGTGCTGCTTTACAATGAGGACATAATTTCAAAACTGCTTGTTTTTTGATTATTTTGAATGTTTCATCCTTTTTGTTTCAAAAATTTCTGCAGTCATTCAACATTTTATTTTCACTAAATGCAAATTTTTCCAACATATACCAATTTGTAATTCACAAATCTCTCCCTAACTCTACYAGGTAAACCATTTTCTATGCAAACCCTAATAATTTGCACATAATCCAGCAGTGAARTGGTTCTCCGGCATGAATTTATGTGAGCCCCCATTTCTCCTCATCAACTTCTCTATTCACAGATTCTCATGTTCTTCCAGCAAGTATTTGAGATTTCCCTCTCTGTGCTTTTCCTCAGTTTGTTTTGGCTGGTTTGTGAAACCAGAAGCATTTCTGCATACCTAAGATTGGTTTTGGGGTTGAGGAAACTTTCTGGAAGTTTTTATTTTTTATTTTTTATGACATTAAGACCAGCGTTTTCCAGCACATTAAAATCTTAGGTGGCCTTCCYGGCTGCCCTTTTTTCCTGACCACACTGAGGAAAAGTCCGATGGCAGAGATCATTTTTACACCAGTGCTTTTCTGTGTTTTTACACTACGCAACATAACATTGTCACACAGAGGTGTTACAGTGGGCTCCTGGTAGATTATCCACTTAAAAAGAAGTTCACAGTTTGTATAGCTGGTTAGGAAACAGAAGCTGGCGCCCACAAAGCAAATTTACTCGCTGTTATCACGTCTTCAGTTCACAGTTAGTCATAAAGAGGCTTTTTGTAATCACTTCATTTTGTTTGTTTTAAAGGGATCCACGAGAACTTGTAACATTAGAAGTCACGTTAGCGCYCAAGCTAATGCATATAAAGGCAATATAGTGTTGGCACCTGATTGGCCAACCCTGGTTACAAAACGCCCAAAAACAAGCAGCTGAAGTTGGTTTCTGATTGCAGCTTCWGATTCGGGAAATGGCTAAAGGGCGATTCCAACTTGTTTTTCTACTACTTTGAGCATCTTTAATCTGATTTAGTTTAAAAGCTAAAACACTTAGAGACTTCAAACCTGAATTAGATTATTCTACAGTCATAGCAAAATATTTAAAACCAGGTTTGTGATTTGTGAAACCTTTACTGGATTTGTGAAACTTCACTTAAGGACAATTACAGCACTTTTTTATGCATATAGACAAGTGTGTGCATGTTTAATTTGTACGGAGCCCGCGAGGGGACATGGGGAGAATTTTTTTCTTTTGCATTCCCACGCAATAGTATTGCATTCCCACGCAACAGTATTGCGTTACCTCGGAAAATTGTTTGGCGTTCCCGCGCAAAAGATTGTTTTGTATAGGAACTGAATTAAATCAGACTTTTATTTTGAAATATCCGGTTACCAAAACAGGTTGTCTCGCCACAAGTTCGTGAAATTGACATTGATGTTGCGTGGCTGCACTGTGTTAAAATATCGGCATATGACATGCTTCTATGCGTGACTGTGTGATTTATTCATTCTGAAGCTGAATTAAAGCAGTAGGCTAACTCCCTAATGGTGAACATGTGAGTTTGTTAATAAACCAGCAGGCAGAACAGTGATAAACTACTTTTGCGAGGGAACGCAAAAGGTATTGTGAGGTAACGCAAAAGTATTGCGTGGGAATGCAAAAGAAAAAAAATAGTGACTGCCTGCTGGGGCTCGGGGCCTCTGGACCTGTCGGGCTTTGGACTGGAGGGGGTGCGCTCTGGGGGCCCGGACCTCTGTGCCCTTTCTTGGATCTGCTCTGGTATGGCGGGTGCCGGTGGGGCCCATGAGTTTGTCGCMGCTGGCCYCGGGGGCTGTGCGTGTGGTCGCTGGGGGGACTCTCCTGGTTCTCCCCTATGGTCTGATCTGGGGGTTGGTGGGCGGATCTTCCCATACAGGTGCCCCTTGGGGGCTCTGCGCTCGGGATCCCTGTCGGGCCCTTGGGCTCTGGTCTTCCCTATGTCTGCCTCGTGTCTTGGGGGTTGGGTCTCGGTCCTCCACAGTCACTATTAAATATTCCATTGGAGAAATCTTGTATATACACGCATGTTCACAACTGCTCACAAACAGGTGTTCTGATCCGGGGGGTTCTGACWGGTCACTGAGTGTGTATATATGTCTGTGTGTATATACTGACAATATTTATGAATGTAGGCATGTATGTATGTATATCTTTATATATGTATGGATATGTGTATATATTTACATGTGCCCTCCATGTATTTATCCATTTATTTTTCAGGTGAGCGGACAGATGTTGGGTGTGTGGTCCTGTGTTTTGTTGGTGTATATTTAATATACTTCTAATCGCTGTTTCAATCTTTCTAATTACTTCTCTCCTTGTTTTTCTCTCTGTCTCTATTTTCTCTTCACTTAAAAAAGTCACTGATGGTGAAGAAATAAATTAATAATATTTGGTTTCGTTTTCTACTGAAGTGACACACAAAAAAATCTCCCATGTCCCCTCTCAGGCTCAGTAAATTTGTGAGACATGCAAGTTGATTTTTTTTATATTACATAACTGATATTTTGCATTTACAAGGATTAGAAAAACATTGATTAGTGCAAAAGGCATGAGTTAAAAAAATTTCTGAACATTTTCTTTAACAAAATACAAAATTCCTTTCATATTTCTTTCCAGGCCCCATCTTCATTCGCCTTGAAGCTCCCATGAACAACATCACGACCTCACTGGGTCAGACAGCTGAGCTCCTCTGCCGTGTCGCTGGCAACCCGCCGCCGACCGTGCGCTGGCTGAAAAACGACGCCCCCGTGGTGCAGGAGCCGAGGCGCGTCTCCTACCGGTCCATGCCGTACGGCTCGCGTCTCCGCATCCGGAACCTGGACACGACCGACACGGGCTACTTCCAGTGCGTGGCTACCAACGTCCAGGGCACCGTCTCCACAACGGGGGTGCTGTTTGTCAAGTTCGGTAAGAACCGTTAAATAGTCGAGTCTAAAAACACTTCTCTTCTCATCTTTTTAAAGATTTTTTTCTTCTTTTTTTTGCTTCTCGCAGCAGCACTCATCCCATCTGATTCATATTTGTAGTTGGCTGCACGCGAAGCAAAAGAATCTGGAAGTAATATTGTTTATCTTGAAGTAAAAGAAAATCCCTTTCCGTCTTTTCCAGAATCACTCCCTACACCTCTGCCAGGAAGGCCGTCGTAAGTTGCTTTTCCTTTCTGCATTATTCTTCTTGTCTCTCTGGTTGTACTGTGTGGGATAAAGGAAGCAGAGGAATCCACAAATAACCGTAGATTATTTTAAAGTTTACAGCAATAGTGGGACTTTTTATTTGCCTTCCTGGTTATCAGATTAGTGTAATAAGAGCATTACCTAAACTCTTCTAATGATTGCTTTCTGGCATGTGCCGTTTAACCAAATGACCCACAACTGTCTCTGTGGTTTCTGTTTATAACATCCAACAGTCACCCAATTAGCTGCCAGCTGTTTGAATATGCAGCGAAACCAAMCGGCAGGCATGGAGAGAAGGTCAGGGTGGCAAACAAAACCAAACGTTACAAAATGTTTTAAGAAAAATAGGAATTTCACTGCCGCCTGAATGAAAATTGAATTTGAGTCTGGCAGGTTTCTGTCACTTTGTTTTGACTTCGCCTCGGTTTTATTGGATAAAACTTTCCGAACTTTCTCTGAATTTCCAAAGATCAAAGGACTCGGCCTGGATGATTTTTTTTTCCCCCCTCAATGACATTAAGGCGAGGCTCGCTGCCATGTTCCATGCAGAATCCAAACTGCTGGCATCCAGTTCATATCACACACTTACTGAAGACCTATAAAAAAATTTAAAAGAACAGGCAATTTTGTTTTTTCTATCAACTGTACGCAAAACTCTAAAACTGAGTTTAAATTTAGCTTTTTAAATGGATCCCTGATTTGTTGTAACATTAGACTTTATTTGATAAACATATATATTTAAC